GGGGTAGCTGAGACTGCTGCTTAGTCTGTGCTTAGCCCAAAAATTGCCATTGGAATCTTGGTGCTCAGGAAAAATTAAATAGAGGGTGGGATGGGGGGCATATAAGAAGGAGATGGAGGAGGAATTACATCCATGAGCTCTGACATTACTCCTCTTAGCAGGATTTACAACCCAAGTGAGACTAAATTGGACTTTATCTACTCTACACTCCTCTCTGTTGCTAACTAAACTTTCCAAATAATCAGAATGAAACCACAGATAATCATGAAACTGGCTTTAAAAAAAAAAAAAAAGAAATTGTACTTTTAATCATCACTGGCATCAGTGTTAGAAAACGTTTGTGAGGCTTTTAGGGTTTTTTAGGGTTAGGGTTTGTATTTTCAGGCCTTGCTCTGCAATGATCACGTGAAGATCAAGCTTTTGAATTAAATGCCAGCTCCCTAGGAGGGGACAACACCCTTTTAATGCAAGTCAAAGCTGCACAGCCACAAAATTCAAGGAAACATCATCACCCAAGTGCCATCCACTCCACCCAGCAGCAAAAAACAAGTAGATGAGCCTGAAACCCCAAATCCATGCTCAAGATTGCTCCAACCCCTGCTCCTCCCACCAAGGTCCTCAACCTGCAGTTCTGCAGGACAAATTAAAGCAAAGGCCAAAGGAGCAGCAAGAAAATTCCCTTTCCATGCCTCTCAAACACCTACCTGATGTTTTCATTGAGGGTGTAGAGTTCATTGTTCTGCAAGCCTCCCCCTTTGAAGACATTTATCACAGCTGTTTGAACACTGCCAAGAAAAGGAAGGAGACAGGAGACCATCCATGAGAAGCAGCCACCAGTGTGACTTAGCACAGAGCCCATGGCTAGCTGCCATGAGGAGACACAGATTTTTGGCCATAGCTGCCAAATGCACAACACTGCCTTATCCAGTGGATAGGAACCAGCAGGAACTACCCAACCTGCAGCCTTCTGGAAGACACTCTGCAGCCAACATCACCCCAGACCCAACTTTAAGCCCTGCTGATGCTCCTGAGATGCTGTTGGAGGTTTCTCTAGCCCCTACTTCTCTCACCAGCACATAGGAAATCATGAAGTGACAGCATGCAAGATGGTTTAGCAAGTCTAAAGGCTTGCCATGGCTAGCCAGTGGAGGTGTCACCCCCTTGATGGATGTTCCTTTCTGTGGAGCTGGTGCAAGGTGGCAGAAGGGCAGGTGGGAGCACCCACTTTTGGTGGCAGGAGGCCACTAGATGAGATGAGGATCTCTCCCTCTTCACCCCACACATTGTTTTCTCAGTGGCCACTGCTGCACGACACGACTGCAGGCAGGATTGGGCTGTCAATAGGAAATGCTGATAGAAGCCACAAGCTTAGAAGTTGGCAGAGGAACCTATCTGTGGTAAAATCTTCATCATCTACAACTACATGCCTGTCAGGCATCAAGAAACTGGCCTTGATTATAATCCTAGGAAAACACTTTCCTAAGTGAGACTTAAAAGAGGCAACTGCTAACAAAGAGCAATTCTCTTTCACTTCAAGACAGCACCTCTGTAAAAACCTTGGCCAAAACCAAGGTTGAACACTACCAAGACTGATTTTTTCACCTCCATGGAGGTTTTCAGCACTGGCAAAGCTCGGGGGTGGCAAAAATTCATCACGTGTGCCGATAAGCAGACAAGCTCAACCCTCAGTGGTCTGGAGCACAGGTAGAGGTGGGTGGCCCTGATGACAGGGCTGCTGAAGGGTGAGAGCTCGGGGCAGGTGGGTGCTGCTCACCTGTTCCAGGCTGAGTTGGAGCTGAGCTGCAGAGCCTGCCGGGCGGCCTGGAAGCGGGGCAGGTCGCTGAGGACAGGGGAGCTCATGAACCGAGGTCGGGGCCTTCTGAACGAACCCATCTTGTGCAACTGGAGAGCCAAGGATGGAGCTGGGGTGAAGCCTCCAGTCATAGGGTCGGGTGGAGTGGAGCAGGGCTGCCAGAAAGTCTCCTGAAGGTCTCAGTGTCAATCTCAGTGATGTCAACAAGTCTTCAAACACAAGGACTCAAGCCTGCAGCAAAAGCAAAGAGACTTGGACGAGGAGTTCACCCCCGTGTAAGGCTGGGCCACGGACACATGTTAACAGCAGGTTTGGCCAAACCTCTCAGAATTCAACAGCAGCCTTCTTTTCCCTTAAATAAGGACCCAACACAGCTAGTCAGAAATACAAGTGTGGTCTCTTGCCATTCCAATTAGCAGAGATCTCAAAACTCTTCTGCCAGAGGCACTTTAGAAACACCTTTATACAGAGAGCCATTCAGCCTGTATAAATCAGTTTTCTTTCTTCACTTTCCACTATTTCACCAGAAAGGAACAAAAGATGAAGAATGGAAGAAAATAGGAACAGCCAAACACAATGGTTTGGGTTTATTTTTTTTTTGAGAAGTGTTGTGCAAGGGGAATGAACCCACTCGTTATAAATCCATGACAAACAGGATACAATAGGGAGCTGCTGCAAAAGACAATCTGCTCTGACAACTAGATATTTTGAGAGCATGCAGGACTCATGTGTTTATTTTGTTTTCTACAGAATGAGAAGTAATTGCTAGGCTAAACCCAGAATGTCTGTATTTTCCACTCTGATCATCATCTCCATATAGACGAATCTGTGGTCCCGTGTAAACCACAGAAATAGAAGTAGTTGGCTTGGAGAAAAACCACCAAAAAAATCTTTGGCCAACTTACTGTACTTCAAAATCTTCCTGCTTCAGAGGAATACAAGCAATAGGTGTAGTTGGAAGTCTGGAGAATGGGGGGAGAGAGGAGGAAAAAACAACCACAAACAAAAAAAGTTGTGTAACTGAGCTGCCCATGAAAAATGTCAAGTAAAATCCTCTTCTCTGCTACATCCCCAGCATGAGGTGGAAGGGGAGATGCTGAGTATCTGCACAGGGCTTCTCAGCTGACTAGTGTGCAGCTCCAGGAAACTCCTTCCCTCCCCAAGCTGTGAGCAGCTCTTTCACACGTCAGAGAACAGCTCTCTGCCCGTGGGGCCAGGCTCCTTGCACTCTGAGCTCACTCTGCCACCCCTCATGGCCCTCTCAGATTCTCATCAACCTCCACAAACCCCTGGCTGTGCACCATGAGCCCCGCTGCTGAGCAAGCTCCAGGAGAAGAAACCTCAATTTTAGGCACTGAAACGCGAGGTATTATCATTCTTAGTGCTATTCAAGAAACAAATAGGGTTGTTTTTCCCCCACAAGCTGAACACAGTTGGCACAGATCTTTGCACAACTGGAACGTGGCTACAAGGGCAACTTTTTTCTGTCTTGAGACAACTTCTGGCTGCTTTTGGAGATGACAAAGCCCAGCCTTTCATGGCATGAGCTTAGCCCTGCCTGCTGTTGCTTGGAAGGGCAACAATCTGTTGCTTCTGTGGCTTCACCCAGCAGTGCAATAAAATTTCTAGCTTAACAACTTTTACACAGATTAATTGTCAGATTAAGTTGCAGAGGGAAAGCTTAAATTCAGAAATGTAAATCATGAGAACCACCTCTGTGCATATATATTCTATAATATAGAAATACACACTTATTCAACATTTGGGTAGGAAATTTTTGGCCTGTCCTTTACAAGCAGTGAAACACCAGGATCAGGAAGGTGTCTCCTGAGTTTGGGCTGTGGATTTAGGAGATGGATTCCACAGCAGAACTGTGGCATTGTGCAGGGCCCCACAGCAAATTTCCTGAACCTTTCTCACCAAGGGAACTTCTGCTCATGGAAACATATCCCTGTTTTCCCTCAGTCTCTGTTACAGGCATCCAGAGAGATGATAACAGGCTCTTGGCTGCAAAGAGCAGATAAGCCACTCCTCTTTACCTTTCCTCCCTCAACACCACTCTGCAATCCTGGGTTTCTAGCAAGTCAACCTCGTTGGGAATTTAAGCCAAATCCTTCAGCTTTAGGACTAGACTCAGAGTCTTATTTTCATTCCTTCAGGATTCAAAGACACAGACCTATCTTACCTAGCTCTTTTCTATCTGCTGAATGACAGGCATAGCAAACTGCCACTCTAAAAGCAGACTAGCCATCCAATAGTGTCCAAACCTAACTCACCCTCATGCTATCAGAACTGGAAATGCCAAAATCTGTGACTTTTCTCTCCCCATCTCCACAGCCTATTTAAATGAGTTGTAGAGTTTCACAAAACTCAAAGTAACAGAGCATTTACTACAAAACAGACTTTTGGCACAGAGCAGGTGGCAGATCCCGTGCCCCTGAAGGTACAACCAAAGCACCCAAACTTCCCTGAGACTTGATTTTCCTTCCACAGCAGCTGGTTTCCACTGAAATTCTCCTCCAAGGCAAGGCAGCCTTGTAGATACTGCTTCATTTTCTCAGGGAAGTTGCATTAGCAGTTTTTTTGGCACTGTCCACGATGTGCATTCTGCAACGTGCCATTTTTTGGCTTTTTTTTACTGAGAGAAATGACCCTTGTGGCAAGAAAGGCATTAAGATAGTTATAGGTTAGTGGTATTCAGGCTATTTTAGCTATTGGGAATGAAGAGTATTTAGGAAAATGCTGAGTGCAGCAAGGAACAATTTTCCTTTTGCTGTGAAAACTCTCAGAGAATCACACAGAAATATTCAGAAATTTTGTCCTCCTAGAGGCCTGCAGTCCAAATTTACTCCCACTCCAGCCTCCTTTTCCTAGGATTAAAGGGTTTTAGAAGACTACAAAACCCAACCTCCTTCTAATAGTGCAGATGAACCTTTTCC